AGATCATATTATATTTCAAGACCATTCTATGAAGTCTTCTACAAGTGTACAACCAACTTTCAAGATGAAGATTTATGAAGATTCATCAACAATTTAGGTAAAAGTTTTAAATTAAGTTTTTTTAAGATGATATAGTGCTCAAAATATACTCTAAATATTTTACATAAGTGTCATGATCATTTAAGAGTAAAACATTGCATGTCCATCACTTAGAAAATAACTTTTTATCACTTTCACTCAGTGGTAACCAATTACAGGGTTACAATAACCGGTTACAGAGCTTCACAGAAATAAAAATAAATTACTGGTTCAGTCCTAACCAGTTACAGATTTTTGGTAATCGGTTACAGCCATGCAGATTTGAAAAATATATACGTTGTCGCGTCTGTGCAACCGGTTACAGCCCTACAGTAACTGGTTACCACTGAAGAAAAATTTCAAATATTTTCTGTTTTACTTGGTTGTTGGGTGATACCTCTTGGGGTCCAACAATTGTATCTTTTTACTCATTTGAGGTGTAATGAAAGGATGCATTTCACATATAAAATTTGTTTGCATTCTGATCATAACACATGACACATTATTCAAACTTTAAAATTTCTTAAGAGTTGTAAAACTTTGAGAATTTACATATTGCATGAAACACTGTTTAGAAATTTCATACTCATCATTGTTTCAGCATATATTAAGCACTAGATCTGACTATAAACTTCTTATCAGATCTTGTCTTAGTGTCTTGATAACCATTGTGTTATTCAATAATTAATTATACTTTGTAAAATCAAATTTTGTATAAGATTAACATTACATTCCAGGATTGTTGGAGCAAGTGTGTGCATTGAAGAAGATTGTTCTTCTTGCACTTAGTGTTCAAGATCTTAAAGGATTTAGGAGCCTTTAATATCCCTATAGATTAGAAAGTAAGGCATCACCTTTAGTGTGATTAGGCTTGTACAATCGTTCTAAACTATAGTGAAATCTCTTTCGTGTTGGCAAGAAGACTGAAGTATTCTCGATCTATGAGGGGAACAAGTATATATCTGGTATTCATTTACTTTACGCATTTTATTGCTTTCATCACCATAATCATAAAAATAAGAACTTTAAAAGATAAGACAAAAATTGATCATCACCTAACTCACCCCCCTCTTAGGCGCATTATTAACTTACAACATTTTATATGTTAAAGAGCGAGAGATGAATTATGAGATGCATGCAATTCTAAAAACATTAATTGATCTAAGTTGGTTTTCAAATATAAATCAATTTTCAGATTATAATTTTCTAAATCAATTTAAATTAATGGATTTTTATTTAAGGGTTAGTGAAACAAACAATCTACATGCAATATAATAAACCCAACTAGATCTTCTGTCAATCTGAATAAGAAATTAATGCTACAAGATTCACAAAAATAAAACATTACTAAGTCACAAGAATCTTTTTTCTTGTGACATATCAATATTTTGTTCTTGTTATAAGAAACATTTATCAACAACAACAACATACAACAACATTTATTAACAAAACAACAACAACATACCTTTTATCAACAAAACAACAACAACATATCTTTTATCAACAAAACAACAACAACATACAACAACAACAAAATATAATAACAACAAAATACAACATAAAATGTTTCACGAACGTACTTTTTATTGAAAAGATTCACGAAATTAATGTTGAAGTTGATCTACTTTATGTTTCTATGAAAAATACAAGGCGAATGAAGTTTACACAATAGCTTCATACTTCTTGTATTGTTTCTTCATAGAAACACAAACCATATGTGAACCATAGATAAAATATACACTTTCTTAAGTTAATTTTCTTCATTCACTTTTCCTACAAGTCAAAAAACACCATAACAAATGTAAAGAGATTTGGAAACATAAACTACAATCAGATTTGCAGCAGATTTCGAAACATAAGCACCATGACATTAACAACATACATGGAACATTTATCAAATGAAAAAATAAGAATATTATGCCAAATGAAAAAAAAAACCTTTTTAGGAAGAACTAGTGTTGTACATGGAACGAATATGAAAAATGAAAGCACTTGATTACCTTTTAGTGTGAAGAAGCTTATGAGGAAGATTTCGCTGCAAGTGGAAGAGAGAGATGTTAGGGTTTTATTTTGAGAGTGGCGATTATTCTGTGTTGAAGCTTAATAACTTTGTTTATATATATATATATATATATATATATATATATATATATATATATATATATATATATATATATATATATATATATATATATATATATATATATATATATAAAACTTATCATCACAGCGGTTAACGAAAACTGAGATGATAAGTTAGAACTATTTATAACGATTTCTATTATTAACGTTGGTGATAATTATTTTTTTTTATAAGATTAAAGTGACAATCCTTTTTTGTAACGAAAAGAAGAAAAGAATTGTTGGTGTTAGGAATCAAAGCAAGTAAACTTTAAAATACCACAATGATTGTGAGTACTGAAAGACAATGAGATTTTTATAAGCCCAATTCATCGAGCGTAGTTGTGAAGGAGAAATTACTATTTGATTAGAACGACCACCTTAAAGTTGGTAAATGGGAGACAAAAACCTATCAAAGAAAATAAACATTCATGGAGGAGGGGGGAGGGGTGACACACCCATCATACTTGTTGCAAATCCTTTTATCCCCTTTGGGATGGAGCACTCTCTAGTATGAAGAGGAACCCACCTCAGTAAAGGCGTGATCCAAATCACCTTCACCGACAAAGGCAAGAACGATATCCAATGTCTCTTAGTCCATACACACAATATAGTTGTCTCATGTCACCATCTAAGCTTTGAGGTGATAGTTGTCAATGTAAAAAGAGATTGCCAACACATAAAAGAAATTACCACAAGTAAAAGCATACGGTCGATATAAAGACAAATTTTACGCTCACTAATGTTCATTTATGGCAAGAAAATTCACCAAAGTACGAAACGCAAAAGATTAAAAACCCTGACATCTCCTTAGAGTGGATGCCTTTGCATAATGTACCACAATCAATATCAATTTTCTCCCTAAAAAATCAAAATTTTCTTCTATAGAAATCCTAATAAAGCAAGCAAGTATGAAAAGAAAAGTCCAGGTTCAGGTGTTACCCTAAAAAAGATGAACTTAGTGACCTGCATGTTATACGCTCCTCCAAAAGATATGGCACAATGATACCGATGAGAAAAGATTAAGGAAGATAAAGGAGGTTACAGACGCGCAAGAAGAGCTCTTAAAGATTCACAAATAGTGAAAAAAGGAAGTAAGGTAACTCCAGAACTTCTTATATCTCCCCCAAAAAAGATGAATCGTTCAATCCTCAACATTGGGAAGTGTGAACTGCACCACCAACGATCAAAATCTCATCGCGAACTATTTAAGAGAACTTAATTTCCCTCGTACTAAAAGGAATAATTACTGTCGTACCTAGGAACACATGTTGAGATGCGCTTGTTAAGCATCACTAATTACGAGGGAGATATTTAATGCACCTTTCCCTAATAACTTCAATGTCCCATAAAGAATTTTCTATTTTCTTCAACCAAAGGCCAAACTGAAAATGAACTTGGCGAAACCCTCGTTCTACGACGTATGAGCAAGGGCTGGGGGCAACTGTTATAGGCCATCCGCAAGGCCCACAAAAGGGCCCAAACGAGTGTCGAAGAAGAAGGTGCACATAACAGGTGGACCATCGCTTCTGCCGAGAACACACGATCACACTCTCCATCACGTCTCTTACGTTGAATCTAATCGAATGACAATCTGCATAAAGTGTCAAATCATGTGCAAACTATTTTAGCCGCCCATACTATATAAAAAGTGGTCATTCTCACTCTAAAACTACTTTTCACTCATTCATTGAATAAAATGTTGAAATACTACTCTTGGATATACACCCTTCTCCACCACACTAAAAGTGTGATCCCACACATTTAAACTTTAATCCTTTCCTTCATCACCTATCTTTTAATTCCTTAGCTGACTAGTCGGTTTGTAAGACATAGCCAAAATGCTTTGTTTTTTATTTATAAATCAATAAAACTGAAATAATAACCTATTAATGGTATATGCATATCATCATTAGTGTCGTTAGTGGTTAAACTTTCTTTATCAATTTTTTTTAATATATATATATATATATATATATATATATATATATATATATATATATATATATATATATATATATATATATATATATATATATATATATATATATATATATATATATATATATATATATATATATATATATATATATATATATATATGAAGACATATCACATGTTTTATATCACAAATAATTTTAATTAAAATAAAAGAAAAATACTGCATATTTTTGACGCATGTGTATATTAAAAAAAGCGGACAGGAAAGCTAGTGTTTTATAACATCAATAAATCATAAAAGAATAAAGCAACAATAAAACAAAACAAAAAAGTTTGGTTAAGAAGTTATTTGGAGGTTTCATGTTAAAGTTGCATGTGATTAACACACTTTGCAACTTACAAATCCATGTCTTCTCATTGGCAGACAAAAAATACACCTATCAACAATAATTCTGCATCGAGATTGATATCAACATGATACATTCCAGTGACTACTTCTGTTTAACCAACTTGCTTATTTGAAAACACCAAATGACTCTTCACTCTTGTTACTGTATCCAGTTTTTTTGGAACATCTTATCTTGTTTCTTCAATTGAATTCTCAGACATAGTTGCACTTTCCATAAAATTATGATTACACACAAGAAAATTATTACTAGAGTTTGTCACAAATTACATGTTATTTAAATTTCATAGAGTTCTCACATTAAAAAATAATTAAACTTGAGGAAGCTCAAAATGCTGTCCAATAGTAGAAAAGAAATGAATTCTGAGAAAGTAAAAAGAAGAAAAAGTTCAATACAAACAACAAGTTAATCTGAGTGGTATTAATTGTGAGGCAATTGAGAATTTGATGTGTCTCAAGATATTGAGTTTCTCCACCTTCTAGCATTCTTTTTGATCTGTTCTTCAGAAGTTGGAATGTGATTACCAATATCATGATTCTCTCCATTTGTCATTTTTGTGAGTTTGCTCAGTTTCTTCCACCCACTAGTCCAAGCTGATGTGTGTTTTTGCTTCATCAACTTATCGAAATTCTTCTGCAGATTTTCCATATCATGTTGAAGCTCCAAATACTTTGTTTTAACACTCTCAAGTTCAAATTTAAGTGTGTTAATGTCTTTCTTAGCTGTTGTCCATCCTTCTTGGAACGATTGCGGCGTCCCTTCGAGAAGTGTTTTCCTGTTTGTTACCATTGGTTGGTATTGAGATTCAACGCCTCCGCCTCCGCTGACGCCTTTTAGAGAACTGTTGTTGGCTAGTGCATTGCTTATCTTGATTTGCTCAGAGAATAGAACTTGCACTACTACCCTTAACGGAAGCCTTTCGTTTTGAGCAGCGTGCATGCACGCGTCGATGGAGAGCTTTTGACAATCCATTACGCGACAGAGGCGTTTCCTTTCGTGCTCGGTTAGTGTAGGATGTGCCTGAAAAGTGATCACTAATTAGAGAACCTAAAATGTGTATCTGTTCACATTTGAGAAATACTAGCGATTATTACCTTGAGATATGAATCAATAGCTCGGTATAGTCCATCATCAGAAACTCGAGCGGATTCAGGTAAAGCTTCAGCGAGAACCTGAAACTTTGTCAATGAAAGGTTCCTATCTCTAGAAACCTCTGTAAGATAACTGTCCACAAGTCTTGCAACTCTTGCCTTGGCATTCAAGTTACTTCCAACATGCTTGTGATCAGAAAAGGTTTGTCTACTAGGACTACAACCTTCAGTTTGTTCTTGAATAAGAAAATGCTCCAAAAGCCTCTGAACAAGATCCACATCGAACTTAGTCTCGCTTCTATCATAGCAAGGAATTAGAAGATCAGAAAGTGTAGCTTGCTCAAACTGCATTCCAACTCTTTTCTCTAAATCAGTAATCAATGCGTGCGCAACCTGGCACATATATAGTTTGAGATTTGTTAAAATCAGTTAAATATCGATTAAGATAGTTAAGATTACTATCTCTAACACATCCTACCTTTAACATGTTTGCCATTCTCAGAAGCCTGAGAAGGAAGCTACACGAGACGCTGTCTTTCTGAGGCGGAATTATGCTGATGAGGCTTTCAATAACCATCCTTTGATCCTTAGTTTGAAGACTTGAAGTTTCATCTCTAGTTTCAGCAACAATCATATGAAGTCCACCTTTCCAGCTACTATTGTCACCGCCGCTGCTAAAACTACTACTACTATTGATGCTTGTTTCCTCTCCTTGGATTGAAGTCTCATTCGCCGCTAATCCTGGTAGCCATTTAGTCGCATAATGCATTATTCCAGCGCCAATCAGTTCAAATCTCATACCTTTTACCTTAATAGCAGTAATGACTCTGACAAAGTGATCAATCCTAAGGATTGTAACATCTTCGAACCACCAATCGGGTGGAACGAGTTGGTTCCTACTCGGGCTCGAGTCTTTCATTTCGTTCCAATTCGGGCTTGAAACTTTCTGTGGCCTCCCAGTATACGACCACCTTATCCCTTTTGGATTAGCACAAGCTTTCCAAGCTATAGACTCGCTGCATCTCCGAACGATTTGCAGATTTTCCGCCCACGGTGACAACTTCTCCGAGTTCTTCAACACGACGATAGAGTCTCTCCATGAAGACAAAACAACATAGCTAAGAAAAGCTTCGGTTTTGAATATAAGATTCCCTTCCTCTAGATCCTCAGTCATTTCAAGATACTCAGAAGCACATCTTAGGCCAGAAATGTTGCTTGCTGTCAAATCAATAGCAACTCCATAGCAGAATTTGGCTGCAAGTTCAAAAGCTTCAGGCCCTCCTGGTAGATCATCCATGACTATCTTATCCAACTCGGCCTCGCGAGAATCATATAGCATTCTGTTCAGCTTTCCACTTCTAGATAGCAATGGATACTTTCACAGAAAGAAAAGTTCATCAAATTCAACACAATATGCTAATTTTTTAGTCTTAACCTTCCGATTTCGGAAAGGAGTCCTGGTAATCCAGAGTTCCGTCACAAGGTAAGTAAAAAGGAAAGATAGACAGATACCTTGTGCAAGTAGAAGTTGGCTTCTCCAATTTGGACATGAAGATCACTTGGAATATCAGCAGAAACATACCTGCGTGATAAATCAAAAGTTATATTATGATAATTGCTTAATTGAGAAGTTTGAGCAAAACATAAACATACCAAGAATTGGCTCTTTGATAAAAGCCTTCAATCTTAACACCATGTTTGGTTGAGGTAAGAACATCACCTCCATATTCCCTTCCATTTGGTGTTACACCTTCTGATTCCCACATGCTGAAGAAAAAATCAGATTCACAATAATGTGATACTATGTACTAGGCTAAATATAGAAAAGCTTTGAGTGAGAGAGGGAGAGAATAAAGGTAAATATCAAAGTTTATATAAAGGAGTAGCAACCCATATTGGGTGTTTGGACTTATCTCAAAAATGTTGCACTCTCACAATAAGTTTTGAGTCAAAATGAACATATTTAGAGTGTTGATGATAATGATGTATCATGAGTTTCTATTTCATTCTTTTAGCTTTGTATAATATTTAAGTACAAAATATTTTCTTTCTAGGCTTCAGATTGACCATACATGTCTCTAAGAAATTATGAACAATCTAGTATCTTTATGGCTCCCATCTAGAGAGGAAACCAATGGTCCTACAGAACATACTCCCAACCACACAATCTATGTTGAATATTAACTCTTATATTTTCATTTTCCCAAGCAATCATGTAGATATGAGCTCTTTAACTTTTCTAAAAAATCTTAGCTATGGGTTTTTGAGTTAATACATTGAAAAATGCGGAAAAATAAAAAAATTGAGTAAAAATGTGTTCGATATATTGTGTGTTTAGGAAATAGCAAGTTGAACGGGACATAAATATATTTTTAATAATGAAAAAAAAATGCTCTATCTGTGTAATTAATCGAACAAGATTAAATATTACACTTGTAAAAAGATTAAACACACATTTAATAAAACAAGTTTTTTTTTTTTGCACAACTTTTATATTTTTATTGTTTTATTCTACTTCATTTTTAAGAGTTTGTTAGTCTAGTATCTCAAACACGCAAAATTTTATATTTAACATTTTTTGGAGGAGTTAAACAATCGATAGTTGAAGGGTGTAGTTCCTTTTTCAACGTAATTGTTTGAAGAAAAAAAAATCATTGTTGAGAGCTTTAAATCGATATTAATTTTAAATTCAACAATAAATTTGACAAGTTTGGTGAGTATTAGTTTGGAATTTCGATTACAACGTTTGTTTGAACATATTGTTTTTGGTGTTTGGACTTTGTTTGGATTGAATTGAGTAAAAGTCCAAGCATTTGGGATGATTTGATAGACAGACAAAACGAATATAATAAATATTCGTTAAGTATATTTTGAAATCGAAAGTTTTTGGATATATACGTCGAAAATTTGGCGCCAATAGAAGAGAAGGATTCGAATTTGAAATCAAATGTTTGAGTCGCAGAGGACACATGAAAGTCTGGTGAGTTCGAAGGACATGCAATCTTCAAACGTGGCACTTTATCATAGAAAGACCGTGAGGGTCAAATTAGTATAAATAGAGATCTTAATGTTAGGATTCAAGGGTGTTCATTTGTACAAATTACTCAATATACTCGAAGTACCAAGTGTTAGAGAAAAGAGTTGCAGAAAATGTACGTATAGACACCATTATTGTTCTTTTCAAATCATTTTACTTTATCAATATCAAGTCTTTTAATATTTCCAGTATTTCCTTTACTTTTTATTCAAAACTTTTACTTTTTCGAGTCACTTACATTTATTCTGCATTTCCTCTACGTTTCTTTACGTTTCCAGTCGAAACCTTTGCATTGCTCATTCGAAGCCCTTTTATTCGAACTTACTTTAAATTTCAATTCTAATCTTTATATTGTTATCAACAAAATAATGTTAAACATGAATCCCATTACAAGTTTAATCTTAGAAACTTAGACACATGTCCTAGGATCAATCTAGTCGATCATGCAAGTTACCAAAATATTTAGTTTGGAGGACTAGTGGTTGTTTACCAAATTCATGCGTAAACAAATTGGGACGCCCAGTGGGACGGTGTCGAAGTTTTGAAAACTTGTATTTTTCTATGAGTGTCTATCTTTCGTCGTTCATCTTTTGAGTATGTCTTTCGTTATTGTTGTATGAACCTTAGAAGTGGTAAAATAGCCAACAGTAACCAACCAAAACCCAAAAGAAAATATACAAGAAAGATGGTTAACACAACTAGCCATGACGGGGAATAAAATCCTCCACATGGATCAGGCACGGTTGTTGCGAGTTCGATGAATACATCAACCATAATCCCTCACACACATGCTATACGTACATCGATAGGTTCGGTGGCCACAAATAATTCGACAACCATGCCTCTTTCTTCGAGTGTAGTGGGCATTCCTTCGAATGCCCAAACTGGGTCGGTTCTTACACATGTTGGGAACCAAGCCCAATTTTCAGCCCCTAGGCCTCCAGGATTTGAAACATTTAGGTCATTTAGGGAACCACCACCATATGGAATGCCAACTTCTTTTGGGACAGGACTTCATAATAGTATAACAAAAACCCAATCCCCGGTACAAGGGTCTGTTTCTGGGATGAATAACATGGGTCGAAATACCCAGAATCAAGGGTCTTTTACCCAAATGCCTATACTGACAACGAGCAATTAAGTAGAATTCAGGCAATAAATGAATGATAGTAACCATGATATGGTAGGAGTTCTGGCTAGAGAGATGATGTTGTACCCCAAAATTTTCCCTCTCAATTCTCAAGGGTTTTCTCACAAAGATTCTCAGGATTTAAGCTTGCACAAGTGCATTGGGATTTTCCAGTACCAGAATTAAAAGGAAACTGTCAAAAAGGGAGAGAATAGATAAAAATAACATTTTGATAAATTTGGAGAAAAATAGGCCTCCTTCGATCCAGCCCCCTTCAATTGGACTTTGAACCTCCTTCGATTGCTCAAAAAGCGCTGCTAACGTGCCTCTTTCGTCTGGGTATGTGACTTCTTGTTGTAGGCTTCGTTTGTGTCTTCCACTGCCTGCATGTTTGCCTTGAATTCCAAATTTTGCTGCCACAAGTGCCCCATGCAGGGCAAGCCTTTCGATTCACCCAACATGCTGCCTGGATGCTTGCTTTGAGTACCAAATTTGCTACCACAAGTGCCCCCTAGAAGGCAAGCCATTCGATTGGACAAATATACTTCCTGTATGCTTACAATCGAAGACCATGACCTGCTGGCCACATGTTCCCCCTACAAGCCAAACCCTTCGTTTAGACACAAGTGCCTGCATACAAGCCTTCATTTGGGCATTCACCTCTTGCACGCCTGCATGCAAGTCTTCGTTTGGGCATTCATCTCTTGTCGTGCCTGTATGCAAGCTTCAGTGGAGAAAGGGCTTCATGCCACTTGGGTTACATATTTCATTTGGGTATTGAAGCTTCCTTCGATTCAGAAGGAAATTATCTGCTGAGGACTTCCTTAAAGCTTCCTTCGATTCAGAAGGAAATGATACTCATACAAGCTTCAATTGAGTTTTGTTTCCGTTTGAAATAGTGTCCTTCGATTCAGGAAGTAAAGGCCTCTTTTTCATTTTCTTCGACTCAGAAAGTCAATAATCTTCTGAAAGCTTCCTTCGATTTAGAAGGCAATAACCTTCTGAAAAGTGTCATTCGATTGCACCAATGGCCCCTCACCTGTTTTCCTTGGATTCACAAGTTTTCGATTGGATGAATGGCTATCTTCCCATGACTTTCGATTTCATCTTCATGTTTGCTTCGAATGCGCCTTCACATCACCTTCGAATCCATCTGCAAACCCTTCAATACGCCATAGTGCTGCATTATGACACACAACCTGATAGCCCATTTGATGGACTTGCCATAGTTGGGGAATAATTATTTTTGCTTACTTTGGAGTCTGGTCGAAGGTTTGGGCCTAAGTGATCAAAAGTAAGAGGACTCAAAATGGTATATTCAACTAAAGAGGGCCATTCGAAGAACACACAATTGGTCCATTTGAAGGACACACAACTGGTGGAAACGGATTTTGCTTTATTGAGTCTGGTCGAAGGTTATGGAAAGATGTAGGTTTCGGTTCAAAGGGTCAAGTTGTCCATAGGTCAGGCTACATAGTTCTCCAACTTGTGCCTCACTCCATATTAAATTGTTCTTCAAGTCAACTTGCTCTTGATAACATTACAACCTTTTTAGAAAGTTTTTGAGCCTTGCGCCTGTCTCTTCTGCACATTTGCCCCCTATAAACTAGGAGTCACCCATCTAAACCATTAATCTTGTTACTTTTATCTTGGGATTATAAAAATTTGATATAAGTGGATGTTGGCCTTTCAAAGAAACTATATTTTATTCTTTCACAAAGTTGCTCATTCAAAAAATTTTCTCTATAAATAGAGAGATCCTTTGCAAAGAAAGAAGAGAGGAAGAAGAGGAGAGGAACGTATCTTCAAAATTCTCACACACCACAAATCTCTCAAGTCCCTTCAACACTTGTGAAATCAAAAACCCAGAGTCCTATTGTCACCTCCTTCGATTCTGAAGAACAACCACCCTTCAGTCTCTTTCGAATCTAGTGGAAAGAAGCATCACACTTGCTTTCTTTCCTCCTTCGAATTCAACATCCAAGGCTTTGTTTTAGGCCCCCTCTTTCGAATCCAGTACCCAGGGCCTCCACTCAAGGTCCCACACCCATTCAAGGATGAAGCAAGGTAAGTTAATCTTACCCTTGCATCCTTCGTTTCAATCATAGCATGGCTATAATGTTTTGCCTCCCTTTCGTTTACACCCTTTGAATCTATTTTTCTGGCTAATCTTTTTGTTCCTTGTTGCTTGAGTTCATTAAATATACTTTAATATTTAGTTTGGCCACAAGGCAAAGGTTAACATGACCTTATGCCATGTTCCCATTTTATGTCCCAAACGAAAGAGACATGGGGAAAGGAATATAAAATAAAGCCTTGGGCTTCAATGCTAACTTCCAAACCCAACCAGAACGCATGCTCATGTTGACTTCCAAGCCCCAGAAAGCTAGAATCGATGGCCATGACTCACTTATTCCAGGCCCAATCGAAGAAGGTAACCAGGCAACTAGGCAGAACCAGAAGTCACGCCCAGCTGCTGCCAATGTCCAATCGAAGGCCATGACTTGCTAGATGCTGATTCCCAATCGAAGGAGGCCAATAGAAGCAGAATCGAAGGCTGCTTCCCCCCCCCCCCAATCGAAGGAGCTCTTTTTTTCTTC